AATGTGGTGGGAGGAAAGCTGGGGGGAGGTCAAGAGACTGGGTCCCAGCTAGAGAAGGTGCCCCTCTGACATTTATATATATATTAACTTAGAAAGAGCTCTACTACACATTGTTGAATGGGAAACAAGCAGAATACTATATGTGGTATTCCACTATATTTAGTGTCCTACTATTCATGCTTCTAAGGGAAAAACTACTATAAATTTGCTATGGGTACCTATGCATATAAATGTATAGGAAGAAAAGGATTTGGAGAAGGGACTAGAGTTAGAAAAAGTAATCAAAAGGATTTTACTCAGATAGATAGATAGATGGATAGATAGATAGAGATGGATATATCATAGATACACACAAAGATACATACATGGACATAGGATGCATTCATATACTTATAGCTTTTAAAATATAGATAAAAACAGGCCAAGATGGTACAAATTGTTATTCTCCTTATATAAATTGAAAAACTAAAGCTTAAAGATTGCCCATATATGCCTAGGCACACACAGCCAGCAAGCCCCAGAGGAAGGAGTGGAGCTCAGATTTGCCCTCCCCATTGCCTTTCCACTACCCTACCCTGCCTCTCGAGGCCACCTGGGAGTTGACTACCACAAAAGGCAGAAGAAGGGGCCTCCTCATCCATACTGGCTGGAATGGTGAAAGCCAAGTGCAATGGAGAATTGTGTTGTTGTTTTTGTTTTTAATTAATGAACCTGTTGGAATGTGCCATTCAGCAGTGGAGCTGAATGATTCCTGCTGTTCCTGCAAAACAAAAATCCCTCCACCCAAGCCACTTCTGTGGCCACTTTTCTAGCCTTATCTATCCAGGGACTATGAAAGGGACACAGAACTGTCAGAGGGGCACCTTCTCCAACTGGGACCCAGTCTCCTGACTCCCCCCCGACTTTCCTCCCACCACATTGGCAGACTGGGTACTTCCCCCTGGGGAGCCCTAACTCATCCCCACCTGTAAGCAGAGTCTTGAAGCCCTGAAATGTCATATCTCTATTAACTTTACTTCTCCCTGGGCCACAAGGAGACAAACCAAGTACTTTCATTACTGTGGCTTGATGGTTTCGAGGGTCTTTTCCAGTTCTAATAGCCAAAGAACATTAGAATTTTCCTTTATGATACTCTAGAATAATAAGCTCTCCCTCCCTAAAGATAATGTGTAATGAAAATCTCTGGCCATTCTTGCTGTCTTCATATTTTTAAGGAAAATCCAAATGTAGAAGCAAAGCATTCTTCAAATGTTAACCATCCATTCCATCTCCTGGTCACTTTGGAATATCATGTGTCAAAGTTGAAAAGTTTTTGAAGGATGGTATAACTGATAATACATTTTAGTTTTATCATTTAGCAACTAGGTGGCCTTGGACAAGCACAATCTCTTCAGCCTCAGTGTTTTTCATCTGAAAAATGGGTACAATACCTACTCTTAAAATTGCTGGGCAGAGGAGGGGGTGAAAGAGATGGCATTGGGGAAGTGCTTGCCACCAGGAGAGCTGTCTCTTCCCTTCTCCAGCTCCATAGCAGCTCTCCTCCTTCCATGGTTCCCAAGACATCCACAGCCTGGGTCCCCCAGACTTGCCCTCTTCAAAGTCTGATTATTTCTTTTTTCCTTAAGTTGCAAAGCCCAGTGTTGAGGTGTAATTGTGTGTGAGAGGGAGAGGGAATGGATCTGGTTTCTTTGAAAATGGCTTCTTTACTAAAACGACAACCTCAGATCTGATACTGAAAGAATCTGCTGGCACTGGGCCCTGTCAAAACAATTTGGAGATATCCAGGGGCCATCCTCCACGGCTGGCAGCCGGCCCCCAAGCTGAGCCTCACGCTCAAATTCCCAGCAGGCACAGAGGCAGGCCCCGAACACGCTCCATCACACAGCCCCATTCCTCCCATGCAAAGGAGGCTGGAGAGAAAGAGAGAAGGCTTGGCATTCTGACACAAAATTTTGTCTCTGCTGCACCCCCCACAGCACTGACTGAGAGAGGCACCCGGCCTCTCTGCATCCTTTTTAAAGTTAAACACCTCTTTTGTAGAAGACACACACACGCGCGCACGCGTGCGCGCGCACACACACACACACACATATTTTCAGAAAGCCCTTGGCACTGCCCAACCCTTCCTGAGCTGGATAGAGCTGCCAGAGCGGATCTGCCCGCCGAGGCCACCTTCTTCGTCCCTAGCCCCCTCCCGTTCCTCCTCTAGAGTCAAGGTTTTTTCAGGAGTTTCAGGGGCAATGACTGGCCGGGGGGAGGGGGACCTCAGATATCCTGCCTGCTGCCAAGTCCCTTACTTTCCCCCACAGTGCGTCTTATAAGCCAGCATGTAGTTTATTCTTCTCCTAAACACTTCCATAGGGTGCAGGGCCTGGAGTTGCTATAGAAACACCTTTTAACTCCTCCTCCCCCAGAATGCTGTGCCAGGCCCTAGGACTTTGGGGACAAAAGACAAAAAGAGACACCTGTGGATGAGCAAAGAGAGGAAGAAAGGCCATCAGGCAGCCCCCCTGGAGAGGGCCGGGCCAGGCCTGCTGTGCCTTTTGCTAGGCCAACATGGCACCAAGCCATGAAGAGAAAACCACCATGAAGGTTCTAGAAGAGGAAGTTGGTAGGCTGGCATGAACACCTTTAGGGAGCTACAAAGTTGACTGAAAGGATTGTGTGGGTCCAAAGGAATAGGGAGCTCCTACATATTTTCTTGAGGGAGAGAATGGACAGTTTTAAGCCAGCCTGGAAACCAGAAAGGCCCTGGGCAACGATACTTGGGAGCCAAGTACTGGATGCCAGTAGGGTGCTGTGCAAGGCGCAGGAGGTCGGCAGACAAGCAGCCCACACCCACACCTCCCGTTTTAAAAGCATTAGCTCATCCCTGCCACTAGTGCAGTGCACCAAACCCAGGCAGGACAATTTGGGATCCATGCCAGAGCATCGAAGATTTTTTGTTTCTTTTTTTCTTTTTGCTACCACAATCTCCTGGTCTTTGGGTACTTCCTGATAACTTAGCTTTTCTCTGGGAAATTTATTAAAAGGCATGAAGGAGCTATTTATTGAATTAATCCAGAGAAATTGTGAGAAACTTCTGCATCACTCATACTCACTGCAGGAAACCTAACCAGTAAACATACTGGAGGGCCCACATTGGAAGCAGGATCTGCTCATGCTTGTTTTTACTTTTCTGTGGTCAATTTCTAGAGTAGAACCCCCAAAGCAAAGGGCAAGGGGGAAAAATGGGGACCCATTCCCACTACATAACAAAAAAAAAAAAAACCCCAGGTGAACCCACCCAGCCCATTTTCCAGCAGAAGTGGACTTGAGCTGCACCCCTGCACACCCTGATTCCACCTGCCAGCCTCCTGGCCAGCGCATGTGTGTGCTCCCGCTGGGCAAAACCGGAACTCAGAAGCAGCAGCAACTCCCCATACTAATCAGGTGGACATGTCACAAACTGGGATGAGGAGGGAAAGAGTAAGTGGAATGTGGGTGGAGGCGGTCGGAGGAGGAGGGAGGAAAACCTTCCCCAGGCTTCAGGAGGCCCAAGAGGATCTTTCTAAGCAATCCACAAACCTGGGGCCAGCTAGGTTCCCCAGGGAGAGGGAATGATGCACCCTGCAGCCCCAGGAAACCTCTAACATGGGTGATCTCAGATCACACAAACACCTTCAGCTGCCAACTGCACTGACTTTCTGGTCACCACACCCCCACTCTGACCTCTAGGCTCGGTCCAGCCCACCAGCAGCACCCCTCCCGGCCTCTACTGCCTCCCCTGCCAAGCTCCTGCCTCCTTCCCCTCCTCACTGCAACACACTGGTAGAGTCCCTCACCCAAGACTCAGTGGAAAATTTCGTTCTCCTTTATGACTGTACTTAAAACACACATGCTCCATTCTTCACCTCTGAATCGACACAGGCAGAGGGCGGCAAGGCTGTCCCACCTCACCACCCAGCTCAGCACACACACAGTCTCCCAGCAGTGCCACTGGACTTGCATGCTTTATAGGCTGGAAAGGAGTAGAGAGATGTTTTCCAGATGCCACTCCGCCTTTGGCCAAGCAAACATGGGTGTCCCAAACACTCCCAGACAAGCCTCCCAGGATGCTCTCAAGGCCCTCTGTACATGCTAAGGAGTAGGACCTCCTACTCCTTACAGGGTCACTCTACTCAAGACACTAAGTCCAGTCTGGAACTGTCACCCTGATGTGACCCTTGGCAGCTTTGTTCTTTTGGTGACAAATCTGTTTTCCACTGCCCATTCTCTCCCTCCCCACACACATTCAAGGAAAAAAAATAGCCTTCCTGTGAATTTTCACAGCTATGTGATAAGTGATCCCTCACACACGCCACCTTCTGCTGGCTATCTACACTCTCAAATACAGTGCCTCCAGGGGGTGGGTCAACGCCACAGCTTTCTCCTCCTTTTCCCCCTTAAATCCACCCAAAGTTGGCAGTCCAAGAAGCTTGGTTTGCGCTTGCTTGGGAAGCCTGCAGTTGGGTTGGGTCTCAGTGAAAAGTATGAATTTCATGGGCACAGGAGATGATGCAAACTCGGAGTACTCCAAGTTTCTCCTGCAACTTTCCGTGCACATGGCTGGCAACTTTTTTTTTTTTTTTAAACTAATTAACTTCCCAGCACTTTAGTTAGCATTCCAAGCTTTGGGAACCCTTTTCCCACCCTTCTCTTCTAGCCCTTCCTCCTTTAGTAGTGAATGGGGACATTTTCCAGATGTCAAAAGAACCGGTAGGAACCTCACGCCCTAAGTTAGGAAAGCAAAGGCGGCCAAGGGCTCGCTCAGCCACAGCGAGTTTCCTCTGCAGGCCATCTTCCCCTCTTGGCTATGCCAGAGACCCCGGCCAAGGACATTGAGTTTCTCCACTCCGCCCCAACCCCGTTTGCCCCTTTCTTGGGACAGAGGAAAGGAGTGGGGCTTGCCCTGCCTCCCTGAGCAGCGTTGCAGTCCCGGCTGCAGCGCGGGGCTCGGGCGGGGTACCGGTAGCGCTTACCGATGTCGGAGTTGCAGAAGGCGTCCTGGGGGTGGCTGGGTGAGCATGTGCACGCCTCGGCGCCCCAGTCCCCCAGGCTCCAGCTGCCCAGGAGCACAACGAGCCCGAGCCAGGGAGTCATTGCCGCTGCTGCCGCCGCTGCCGGGGCTGCTGCTCGCCTCTCCAAAGTTGCCGTGCGCACCGCCGGCGGGGCTGCTGTAGCCCGAGCTCGCTCGCCCGCCGGGCTGTGCGGGGCAACTTTGGCCTCCGGCGCGCTGCCCTCCGAGTGCCCAGCGGGACGGGATGGGGCGCGGCGAGGCTGCCTCGGCGCTGGTGCAGAACTCCGCGGGCGGCCTCCCGGCGAAGGAGCAGGAGCTGGAGGAGCAAGAGGAGGAGGACAAGCCGTCTGAACGCCCGCCGCCGGCCTGCTGCCCGCTCTGCGCCGCTGTCTGGGCGGTCGAGTGATATAGCCTGGGCCCCTGGGGACCCCGCCTCGGGCGCTCGGGGCCCGCCCCCTCAGACCAATGGCAGAGCCGTATTACCTCATCGGCTCTCCAAAAAGGGGGCGGGGCCGGGGGCGCGGGGCAGCGGGGCGGGGCCACCCCCGGACCGTTCAGATCCTTATAGGGAATAATACCGCCGTGGGCACGCGTGTGGGTGGGCTGGGGCACGCCCGGGACCGGTGCTTGCTGCCGGGTCCTCCGAGCGGCGCCCTGGGGCCCCCTCTCATCTGCGCACTCGCCCCACGCCACTGGGTGCCTCTGATCCAAACCAGAACCAACTTACCACTCACCCGCCCCAGCAGGACCCCTTCCACGAGTCAGGGTTGGCCATGTCCCAGAGTCCTTGACTGCACCTGGTGGAACAGCTATCGGGGATACTAACTGCTACCCCTCCAGTCTCTCTGGAGAGAGCAGAGGAGAAAGACCCAAACACTCACATACTCTCTCTCTCTCTCTCTCTCTCACTCTCTCTCTGGTTCTTGCTCTCTGGGATACGAGAAGCCATCTGCTGTTTGCAGCTGGCTATGATATATGATAGAAGATTGTTTTTTTGTGCTCCCCCAGAGCAAACGGGGTTCTGTATTCATTCAACAAACACAGTTCAGGATGCTGGGTTAAGCAACACAAAGCCCTTGCCCCCAGGGAAATCCATGAATGCACAGGGTGATTTTCTGTCATGCTAGGGCTATGAAGAAAACAGAGTTCTGGGTTGAACATGACCGGGGAAGGCACTGCTCTCTCTGTGCTAGCAAGGGAAGGGCTCCCTGAAGTGCCATCCTTGCTGAGAAGTGGGCAAAGAGGAGGATTCACTCTGGACAAGCCATGGGAGAGGGTGCCAGGGAGGGGGAACACAAGTACAAAGGTCCTGGGCATGTTTGCAAGACAGAAAGTAGAAAGGCAAGAGGAAATGGTTCCCCACCCATGGCTGCTGACAGGTCACCACCCTTCAGCAAGGGATTTGTGGGTGAGCTGATCCAAAATTGTAGTAAAACTAGGAGAACAATCCAGGATCCTAGATGGCTAGCTATAATGGATGATTGCAAATAATGAACACAATTACTATCCTTATTATTAACATCTTGATTCTGCTTTGTATTTTTAAAAACAGGATTCTGTACCTTACCTCATTATAGTGCTCATAACAATCCTTCTAGATAGGAAAAGCAAGCGCACGTATCATTCCCACTTTCCAGGTGAGGAACTGGCACAGAAAGATGAGATGATTAGTGGACAGCCAGGAACTCAAGTCACCCCTTTCCACTGCCCCTTCCCATCTGCAGACAGACTTGCATTTCCCCGAACTTCAGCATCTGTTCCATATAACTGCAAATGGCCATTTGCAGCTGGGATCTTCCATCTTTCTACACTTGTCTCTCTCCCTTTCTCTTCCCCTTCATCCTGTTAGAAAGAGATTCATATGTTTGGGCTGTAGAAATGCTACAAGTTTAGAACAAATAAAAACGGAGAGAAATGCAAGTTCAGCTTCTTTCTCAGAACTCCTCTGTTTACCTCTCAGAGAAGTGACATTGGGACAAGAAACACCGAAGAATTTGTGAGAGGCAGTATTTCCAAGAACGTTTTTGAAACTTCTTTCCCCGCCCTTGAGCATTTTAGCCATAGGAAAGTGGAACCAGTTTCCACATCATTCTGACTTGTTCCCCACCCAGCTTTAAAAACTCTCCCTGTCTTCACTCTGTGTCCTCACCCATAGAGATGTTTCTGTCACTCAATGTTTTTCCAGCACTGTTTTCATTGTTTTATGGGGTACAATTGTATTACTTCCCCAACCACAGTAGGAATACTTCGAGGCCTAGGATATTTAGCCATACTGCTTTTTAGCTCTCTGAGAACCAAATAGGGTCTCAGGTGACTGGAGCATGGGTGTGGCCAACAGCCCACTGAGTCCTGAGCAGAGTGCCCTGGAGGCCAGTCTAAGGATCCAGGTTGAATGAGAGCATACGTGGTGGAATTTGAGAGATTCGATTATCCCCACACTCCACATGACTTATTCCACAGTCATGTGGAAGGTTTTAAAAGACTTTCCAGACCAAATCCACTTTGGATAAGCATCTTACATGATAGAGGCCCTCTCTTCTCTTTCTTTTCCTGTTACAGTTTTGTCCAGTCTGCCGATATTTTCTCCAAGGGAAAGCTTTTCCTGAAATATAGGTATCAAGTAAATAACTTCTACTGAACTTCAAGCAGCAGTTTTCTCATAGAAAGCATCTGAAGCATTTTATTCCGGCAGTTACTTAATTACGAAAGTGCAAGTGGAATCTGATCTTTTTTCCAGCTGAAAGGTAATGAAATTACCTTTTGGTTAATTTCCTCTCACTCCCTGTCCTAAGCCGGTCCATGCAGTGTCTAGAAGTTTAACGAATTCCAAGAGCTTTTCAGTTAGGATGTTCTGCCTTATTCCTAACCTGAGTCAGTTCCCCTCTGCCCACCATGTGAAGGCAGTTCAGTTCTCACCCTAAGGAATAGAAAGAGCAAACTCCATGAATCCTTGTGTAGGGAAGTCCTCCTGCTAGGGCTACCCCCTTCATGAGCCTAGTAATATGTAAGAATTGTTTTTTCAATGTCATTTAATAAGCTAGGTGGGGTGGACCTGAGGTTAATGGTAAGAGTGAAGATACAGGCTCTCCTGCTTTCTCTTGACAGCTAAAAACAATGGTAGATTTATAAATCTGGGAAGAACTGAGTAAGTTTCAAGATCTATCTGGCCTGTCTACACACCTACCAGGATGACCTGGTATTCATCCTTATTTTAAATGTAGGAAAAATAAGGTTCAGACAGGTGAAGGAACTTGCCCCTTTGCAGGCTTCAGTCCTCCAAGCTCTAGGGTGTGGCCCATGCTTGTACTGTGGCCTTGGGAACACCAGCCTTTCACAGATCTCATATCTGCTTTTGAGATCTGTAGACAGATCCGTTTGAGTCTCTTTGTACGGTGTCCAGCCCACAGAGAACTTTTACCTGCACTGATTAAATATTCTCTACTATGATAATAATCACCCTCTGAGCCAATCAGAAGAAATACAGGTTTGTCCTCATGACACGTTTATCTCTTGTGTGTTTATTTTTTTCCCGTTTCTAAATGATGAGCTAATGCATTCCAAACATATCACTATAAAAAGGCACATGAAAATTTTGTTTCTGGGAAATGAAAAGAGAGTAGAGTGGGAAAAAAAAATTTAAAAACCTGGGATTTTTTCCGAATGTTGCAGAATAGTTGTGCATCTGCCTTGGTCAAGTCACTTTGCCTGTCCAGGCGTCAACTTCGACTTCTGTGTTTATTGGATGAAAGATAGAACTCAGTGGTCCCCAGGATCTCTCTCGCCTCAAAAATTCTAAGATTCCATGGGAAATCCTCAAGGACAAGTGAATATTTCTGAAGGGCAGATGGGTCTTGCTGTTTAAACAGGTTTGACACACAGGAATGTACTTAAGACTGAAGACCATCCATCAGTTTCTCAGCCAACACTGAGTTCCTAAACTGCTACCTCCCCCAAGAATCAATGCTGAAAATGGAATTTCAGAGAAGACTGTGATGCTAAAGTCCTAGGAGAGACAGGGTCTGGCTTCTGGCGGCGCCCAGTGTAGTTATGTCTTCACCTGCCTGCTTGCCTCTTGGATCATAGCACTAGAAGGTTAGGAAGGTGTCTTTTTTATCTCCATTTTTTTTGGTCTTCGAAAGTCATCGAACTCTTCCACACCCTTCAGAGCTTAGTTTAGATGTCACCTCCTCTGGGAACCTCCTCTGATTCCCCTCCCATGTGTCCGCACAGCACTCTGTATTAACTTATTTGACAATACTTAGCTGACTCGAATGTGATTATTTACGCATCTGTTTCCCTTCCTGAGCTGTAAGCCCCTAGAAGACAGGGATCAAGTGTTGGTAACAATGAGTTTAATAAGAATTGGTTGAATGGGTCCAGTGATCAGCACCACTGACCCCTTTCCAGCATTCAGACAGGCAGGTAGGTGGTGGCTCCTTGAAGAGTTCTTGGAACTCTATCCCTCTGGCCAGTGCTAGGGGGCACTATAAGCCAGAGAACGCCCATTTGCTCAGCCTGCAGTCCTGATCGGTTGTCTCTATGCGAGGGCGGGAGAGCACATTTCCACATTCATCGGTGGGGTGTGGGTGCCTTTGAGTGGGTGATCCTCACCCCTCCCCTCTGCCATGGCCACAAAGCTCTCAGTCAACATCCCGTCTGGGCTCCTCCACCCCTGAGCTGGCCACATGTCAACCCAAAGGGGAGATGCTCTCTGGGGAAGCAACATAGTTGTGAATCATTGGTTTGGGGGCCTTAGGACAGTCTGGGAACACTGCAGAAGATGCCACATCCCCACTCTTCCAGGGAAGAGCTGGGCTTTGGAAATTCAACCTGGAGAAGGTGCTGTCATTTCTGTTGCCTGATAGGGAAGCTCCTCTTTGCTTTCCTCCCTCTTCCACTCCAGACCCTAACCACAATGCCTTCCCACAAGTCCCATAGTCCATGTGAAAGTCATTATATTCAAAATGGCCTTTTCCAAGCAGCAGACAGCCTGGTCCACCCATTTCCCCGTTAGCCCTGGCCAGACCCTCAGTGGGGTTGCTGCCCGGCACAGGGCAATTCTGAGCCTAAGATGCTAAGTACTGCAGGCTCTGTCTGTGTCTGGCACCAGCAGGGGATAAACACCTTTCCTTGCCTCCATCTGGAGCCAATTTCATGGCAGTAAAATTGCCCCAGCTCTCCCCCAGCCTTGCCAGTGAAGTGAAGACCCCTCTGTAAGAGTCTCTGGCTACATTCACGTGAATCCTGGAGTTTTCATAGTTCTTTCCACAGGGATCTACTCCCAGGGTTTTTAAGCCAGAAAACATGTGTGTGCAGTAAAGCCATGCTGTATCCTATATTATCTAGGGTGGTGGGAAATGGGAAGCGGAGTCAAATATTCCAGCTTTT